GCACTGCAGCTCAGAGCATGACACACAATAGACCAGAGGAGGAAGAGAGGGATGGGTCCTAGTTAGGCTGGCTGCTAAGAGCACAGCCCTGCTATGTGGCGTCACCCTTTTTTTGCACTTATTTATTTTTGTCGCTGCCCCTCCTCTTTTTTTTCTTTTCCTTTCATGTGGAAAAAAACCCCAGCAGCCCAGAAGCAGCATGTGCAGCAAGGAGGAAATCTTGAGGCACTTGTGTTTACCACAAAAAATAAAGATTTTTTTTTTGTTTGTTTTAATTTTCCAGTTGACATTTGCTATTTACAAGAATGTGGTCATTTTGGTCACTTCTGCTTCAGGCGGATACAATGTAGTGCCAACCGCATTCAACTGCAGGTTTGGGCCTTCTAAGTTAAAAAAAGAAATAAAATAAATGGCCTTTCTTCCTTGTCTGGCTGTTCAGATGCTGAGGCCAGCCGGCCTTCTTGTCTCTGTTTTTTAAGGCTCCAGTCTTTCAAGATTTCAGCCCTAGGGCCAGCCGGCTTGCCTGTCTTTTAGGATTTCAGTCCTAGGGCCAGCTGGCCTTTCTGTGTCTGGGTCGTTTAAGACTCCAGTCTTTTAAGACTTCAGTCCTGAGGCCAGGCAGCCTTTCTGTCTTTTAAGATCTCGATGCTGAGGTCAGCCTGGTTTGTTCCCCTCAGCCTGGCTTTTAAGCTTAAAGCTGCCCGTCTCCAGTCAGGCTGGCCGAGGGGGATCTCGGCAAAGCAAAGCAGCTGCCCTGAGGCCTGGCCGGGAGAAGCGCGGCCCTCCCTCAGAGGAGGCGGCAGCGGGCAGGGGAGCTCGGCGAGTAGGCGGGAGCTGGAGTTGGAGCGGGGGCGGCGGCTGGGCGGGGCCGGGCGGCTGGGCTGAGCCGCGGCGGCGCTGGAGGTTCGTCTGGAGCCGGAGCGGAGCGGAGCGGAGCATAGCATCCCTGCACCCCCGGGGCTGCCTCCCGCCGGGAATGCCCGCCCGCCAGGTGCGCAGCCGGGGGGGGGATATGCGGGCTTGAATGTTGCAAAGGCGGCAGTGGGGCACAGCACAACAATGCGGTGGGGCCAAGGGCGAGAGCTCGGCTGGGGGCGGGGTGCCCCCGGCTGCTGTTAGCTCGGGCTGCGCGTTTGTCCGCGTTGCTGCGTGCGGGGCGGCGTCCCCGGCAGGACGCACGCCGGGCGGTCGGGGGGAGCCCGCGGCCCCACCATGCGGATGCGGAGACCCGGCGGGGAGGGGCGGGATGCACAGGAGCGCTTAGCTCTTCCCGCGGGAGGCCGCTTGCCAGCCCTCCAGCCTGCATCGCAAGGAGCAGATGGGATCCTCCTCCCTCCTTTGGCACTGATTTCAGACGGGCAGCAAGCAGGTGAATGGCAGGAGTGAGGGTTTGGTTAGCACGTACTCTCCCCCACCTAAAAAACCCACCCCCCATGTGTTTTTTACCTAGTAAAGCCTCCCAACCAGCTGCTTGGTTTTAGTAGCAAGCTAGCTACAGTGTTGTTGCCCATCTAACCCCCCGACCCGACCTGCTACTTGTTTTTATACCTGTCAACCCCTCCCAGCCAGCTGCAGCTTTACCCAGCTAAACGACCTGTAGTTAGGTACCCCTCTAACCCTGGCAGCCAGCTCCAGGGTTTTACCTCTCCAGCCAGCTCTGTGGTTTGGTACCCAGACCAGTTCCGTGTTGGTACTAATCTCTATGCCTCATAAACCTGTCTAAGCTTCCTGAACCTATCAGAGGTTTGACCCTTGAGAAAACAGGGGTTGTCCAGGGAGGCGCCTGTGAACCCAGACTCTGTCAGTACCCCATTGTATTTCTCTGTTTTTAACCCTTTCCCTGTATGCCTGGATTGTTGTCCTGGTTTTGCAATCTCTGCCTCTGATGCGTCAGTCTCTGGGTGGTTTGCTAATGCAACTCGAAGCATCCTAATGTTGGCTCTCGATAATGTTTGTGCTGCATGCTCTTTTCTTCACTGGGCAGCAGAATTCCTCTCTGTGAACTGGGGTGTTGGTTGCAGCCGTGTTGGTCTAAGGATAGAGGCAGACAAGGTTATATGGGTAAATGTGATATCTTTTTATTATACCAACTGAATAGTTGGACAGTTTGTTCTAATAAAAGATAGATACCACATTTACCCAAATAACCTTATCTGTCTCTCTTAACTGGGCAGTGAAATCGGTGGCCAGGAAGTAGGGTTGGGTGTGCAAAAGTGGATTAATTTAGGCCCGGATCTTGCCGCTTGGTCTGAGCAGGTGCAACTTGGCACCTGGTCGCATCCTGATTGACCTCATTGGGACTCTGTGGGAATGGACGGTTTCACCTGTGCTGAGGCAGTCTGCTGTCTCACGGCCTTGCTGTGTAGCAGCTCTTCCCTTGCCATTAGTCTTTCAAGCTAATACTCTATGTTGGATTTGTTATTTACTTTAAAATCTTCAACCATTGCACTTCTGTGAGTCCATTATATATTCATGTACTAATACAGAATGATGGACTTCTAAAATGGGTAGTGTTTAGGATTTGTGTGAAACTGCTGTGAAGTGAATAATACTGAGGACCTGTATTTGGATAATATGTAATGTGCATCTTGAAGGAATCTTTTTAGGCTACTGAATAAACAAATACTAGCACTTTTTTCTTCAAAACGTATGCCAGTATTTTAAGTCAAGAATAAAAGATCGCTGCATGTTGCAGAAAGAAACATCAAGAAGCAAACGTGTGCGCGTGTCTAAAAGATTGTTTAAACAGCCATACAGATCTTGAAAACTGAAAGCATACCAAGAATTAAAAAAAAATCCATTTTCTAGTTCTGTTCCTCTCTCTAATCCTTGTATCTAGAAAATGTCTATGCATTAACTGAATAGGAGACTGAAACCTGCATAGGTTATAACCTTGAGTAATTTTGCTCCTTTGAGAAGTCATAATGTAATCAGTAAGACTACTCAAAGGTTTAAAACTTCTCAGGATTGCCCACAGTCTTTTTAATGGATCAGTATTGTGTTTCTCAATATTGAGATCTTTCAAGAAATTCAGTACTTGAAATTCCTGAAGAACATGGAAGCTCTGTGTTCAGTGCCTTCTCTTTCTCTGCTACCTAGCACAGACTGAAATGAGAAATGCTTCTAGAAAATATGATGCATACACATGCAGCGTACAAACTTGGATCTATTGGCCAATTCTTGTCTTTTCCCCAAAGGACTGTTCTCTTGTGATGTTTTTCTGAATGGCAGAATCTCTGAGGCAGCTATGATTCTAATTTGTCATCTCTATTGTTGAAATGATAGCTCCTCTCTTTGAACTTGGAGTGAATCGAAACCAGCTGAAAGGATAGGTGAGAGGTATTCGCTGGAGCAGTTCTATTTATTGTCTTCTGTTTTCAAGACTCTGGAAAATATGATCAGGATTACTCAGGTATTCGTATACAGTATTTCACCTCCTGGAGACCTGATTTTTCCCACTGCTGCTTGCTGTTTGCAGATATCACAATATCACATGGGGCTTCTTGCATTCAGTGCTGAAACATGGCTGAATTCAATTTGGAAAATGAATTCAAGGAACAAATGCAAAGATACTATTTGTTCAGAAAGGGTTTTTTGACAAAGCGTTCAAATGAGATCACTAGGTGAGGCCAGTAGTCATAAGAGTGAGCTGTTGTGCCTTTTCAGAGAATGGTGTTCAGAGACTAATATGGCTATCTAACTCTCTCTACCTTTCAGAGAGGATGTTGCAAAGGTGGAAGTTCACATTTAAAAACTTTATTGAGGAAAATGCTAAAACTATAGTTGGTAGGTTTGGAAGACATCATGAGACCCTGTGGTTGGTATGTGTGTAGGTACACAGTTGTTGTATATTAACACAGTTAGACATGCAGCCTATGTTAGTTTAGGATTAAGTAATTATAACACTTCCATGAAACTCTGTGGTAGGAGGAGAAACAGGACCTCACACCTGGGGTCCTGCACAGAGTTGGAAGGCCTAGAGGCATTCTTAGACGATGACTGGTGTGTTGTGTATAATTGTTGTAGGGACTATTGAATAATATTAGTGGTCTTTGAAAGACTCCGTAGCGTGTGGGGATGGTCTTTTTCAGCCCATCTCCCCAGTCTTGTCGAGGGTATGAGCCAGTAAATTGCTGTTCTTGGCAGCTGGGGATTACACAAAAGATAATTGTCATATAAATGGAGGACAAAGAAAGCTCAGTATCTTTTATGCCAGTAGGCATTGAGGGGAAAGTTGGAACGCAAATGATGATGGAGATGCCTCATGTCTGTATAGCAGAGGATTGCTTAATGGATACCAGGCAAAGCAGCATAGTCAAGATTTGTTTTGGGGTCAATAAGGGGGAAGAGATTTGTCATTCTTCCAATTCTGGGATCGTTATACCACATTCATGTGGTTAGAAGTGCTGACCTGAGGCAAATAAGTTGATGGTCCCTGCTCTTGTATTAATAGAACTTTCTGTATGTTGGCATCCTGTTGAGGATGAAAGTGAGTCTGTCAGTCGCTTCTGAAATATGCTGGGCCTGAAAACAAAATCTGTTATAGTAGGCAGTGTCTAGGTGGGCTCAATAATAGCTAGAATTGTTGGACTTTTCCCTTACAATTATGTACCATTTATCAATTGCATTGTCCAGTTTTAGAAGGACTCAGAAATCAGTTATTTCATCTGTAAAAATCCCGATGGCAAGTACTTCATGTATTGTATCAGTTGGACTCCTTTAGGGCATTGGAAGGTCAACCTTTTTGGCAGGCATGCCACAAACTAGCCTTGCTCCCTCCCTAGGTGCCACTCTGATAACCTTTCTCTGCCCAGTCTGTTGCACTGTTTTCTGTTCCCTACTCTGTGCTCCCTGCCTGATCTCTGCTCTGCCATATGGTTTGTGACAGTACAGCATCCCTTCTCTGATTTATGTATGCCACACAGAGGCCACTTGTGCCATGTGTTGGCCACCCCTGCTATTTCTTATTTCTTTGTGTCTTGCTTCTTACCTGGACAGGCTGGCCTCTTGATTCTGTGATCTCATAGTAAAGGATATGCAGATTAGACTGCTTTCCTTCACCCCTTCCTTTTGTTTAGAAAAAGGCTGCCCTGCCTATGCTTCCTCAAAAAGCAGAACTGTCAATTTGAGAAGTTAGTTTGGGTTTCTAGGTAACTTGTGTATGTTGTAGACTTTGGGGTGTTTCTAAAGGATAGGTTGCTGCTAGTGCCTAAGTTAGCTCAAGTAAAACTAGGTCAGGAAAAATACATGGCATTGTATTGTGCCATGTAGCCTTGCTTGTATATAGTAGGATTAGAAAGGACCTTTACTAGTAGTCTGACCTAGTGCATAATGTGGGTGATAAAACTGAACCCAGTGATTCCTATGTTAGTTCTAGTTCAATAGCAAGTTATTAGGCTTGTTTTTTTAGAAATATTTGCAGGCTTGATTATAGCCTTCACCTGAGGCAGAATTCAGCATATCTCCTCTGCAAGCTGTTGTGGTGATTATTTACTTTTTAAAAAATGTGTGCAATATTTTTTATTTGAATTTAACTTTTATCTTATACATACAGGATCTTGTTGATTAAACAGCTCTCTTCTGCCAAATATTTTTCTTTCCACATACTATGTGTATATATAACCTGTCTCTTTCTTGGACCTGAGGAAGGGCACTTGATGCTTAAAAGTTTGTCTAGGAGCTCTCCCAGCTATATAATAGGTCCAGTAAAAGATATCTCAAAACATTCTTGCCACCCATATATACGCGTCTCAGTTAACACTCTAAATTCTTAGTGCATGGCAAGTTTCCAGCTCTTGAGTCATTGTTATGGCTGTTTTTGGAATACTTTCCAATTCTTCAGCATTGTTTTTGAAATATAGGAACCAGAACTGTATACGCATTCCTGTAAAGGTCATATGGTTTCTTGAAAGTCCCCAGAGTAGCTGCTTGCACCGCCTCTGGGGGAAATCTGTTCCAGGCCTTGGGGGCTTGGACAGTAAATAAGTTTTT